GGAGAGAGCGTATGATATTTTACATTGATAGAATGTCAACCTTTTATAAAAATTAAATCTGTTATCATTAGCTTTTTACTTTATATAAGATGATAACAAAGGAAAATCAAAGCAAGTCTTCTAAACTGTCCAGAGTAATTATCTTTCCAGAATGGCCTTTCTGTACAATGTCAGCAATTACGAAAAATGAAAGACGGGCTTCTCATTTTAATCCAATTAGCTTCCTACATTTACAACATCTCCTTGGTTTCCTTTTTTTTAAGCTCAGATTTTTATGAAGCGGAGCATCCCCTTCTCCTTCTGGTGACAGGAAAGAGAAGTAAGATGTAGAGAGTGAAGTCATAGAAGTAGACTGGGCAGCTAACTGGGGTGTTGTTGTTTAAGGGGTACTCAGGCACTGACAGATGTAGGGCAAAACTATAAATTCTCAAGCTGTTTCCAAAATGGTTCCAGAAGAGACTAAGACCTCCCTTTTCACATTTTCTTCATGATAAGGGATCTACTGCACCGTGTACTCTCATACTACATCTGTAATTTTGGAAGACTCGGGTCATGGAGCAGGACGCATCCTGTAGCTCCTCTCCATGCCAGTATTTCCTCAGTTTCTCAGAGGAGCAACACTGGTGTTCCATGTGGTTTTGTCTTCCTTTCATATGTGTATTTGTGAGGCAGAAACAAGCTGCATTGCAACAGCTCTCCTAAAACAAGTAAAGTGAGAAGAAGCCCTCAGAGTAAACACCTGAATTTTCCACTGTGTTGCAACCTGCAAGAGTTTTGGAGGATGCAACCATGGGAAATAGAAGCCAACTACTTTGTTTCTGTAACCTTTGGGGCCAATTTAGCTAAACACGTGCATGAAGCTCTTTTTTCCATTCATCATAACCGCCCCCCCCATCCTGAAATGTGGACACCTCTACAATTTATATTGTTTTTATAACAAAATTGTTGCCCACAAAACCACAGGGAAGGAAGTAAATCCCTTTTAGCTCTCCCTCCTCCCCCAAACCACCTTTAAAGGTACCTAGCAAGAAAAGCACTGTGTCTATTTGCCTGCAGTTTGGCAGGATTTTGACCTAGGGGCATTCAGATCTAAACCAAATCAGGCAGCCTCCAAAGTGATTCAGACCACATTTGCCTGGGTTTTTTGAAGCAGTAATTGGGGTCCAAGCCAAATCTCGTGGTCATTGCACAACCTTAAATTACAAAATCAACTTTCCCATTGGAATCAGTGGGACGTCTTAATGCTGAATTTTGACTGCATCACACCCTGTGCTTTTACTTGAATTGGTATCAATGCAATCTAGGAAGAGAGGTAGCTCTACTGCGAAGCTAACTCTTTCCAAGCATTTACTCCTTAACAAGTAGACCAAAGCAGCTCTATTGAGGTACTCATTCATTTTATAACAGTAACTGAAAAACTGCAGGAGGCTAATTGTATGAATCCATATTCACTTTCTGTTAAGAATATCACAAGAGAGTGCTCATTAACATTTGTACATTTTTATACCCTCTGGATGAATGGTAAAATCCCAGCCATCATTACAAACCGTTTGCTCCTTCTTTCCATCTATAATATGCAGTCACTGTGCAGAGTAACATTAGAGGAAAGTCCCTGCCCCGAAGAGAGTGCGATTTAAAAGAATGGGAAGGCTACATAGGGAAGAAATGAAAGTGAGAGAGGCAAAATTAAAGGGAAGAAGAGATTTTACGCATCTTTAGACTTTGTTTTGGTGAGGGGTTGAGGGTGAAGTATAGTTAAGCCACAATCTTCATAGAAGAGCTGAGCTTTGAAAGAAGACAGAGGTCTCACCATGCAGATATTCTGGGTTTGAATATTGGGTATAAGGGTCAGCAAAGAAGAAAAGCCTGAGCTGCTTAAGAGAATAGGAGATTTTTGGATGCTTAGGTTGCAATCCTGTGTGCAGACTGGGAATAAACTCCGTTGTGGCGCATCTGACAGGAGAGAGCTCTTCAGTTATAACATAGAAAGCACACCCTCCAAGTGCCCCTATTTTCCAGGGACAATCCTGGAATTACAGAAGCCGTCCCGGCTGGGGCCGCCTCCTTCCTTCCCAAGACTCATTTAATGGCTTCCGGGCGCCTTCTCTCCTCCTGCCTAGGAAGAGAATGAAGGTGTTAAGACAACAGACTCCTGCCCCCTTCTTGCCAACAGTTCTACCCCTCTCTCCACCTTCCACAGCTGGCTCCAACCCCAATGAAGTTTGAGGATGTTGAGTGGGCTGGCCACAAGGAGTGGAGCGGGTAGATTCTCACCAAGCCATGGGAAGGACAGACTAAGCTGAGGAGAGCACACTGCCGCCAAACCTGGTACACATGCACAGCAGTGCTTAATTCCTTCATGCAGTAATTAGACTTAAGTGTGTTGGTTATACGAGGCTGCTTATTCCACACTTCCTTCTACTACAAACTGGGATTTTGAGCAATTTATGAGCAGGTTTTGGGCCTTTAATATTCATTATGTCCAGATTGCACTAGGTAGAAATCAGCAGGGAACTATGCTCAAGCATGCTATTTATGGTCTACATTAAAGTGTGCCAGTGGTGGGTATTTTTTTATGAACTTAAGGTAAAGGGGTTGACATTATATTACAGATTCGTTTTAGAGGCTGTTCCTTAATGTCTTCCTTTTTTCAGTGTGAGATTTGCATAATTGATGATCAGGTTCTACCAGTTGTCATGTTTATACAGTGGTGCCTCGCAAGACGAAATTAATTCGTTCCGTGAGTTTTTTCGTCTTGCGTTTTTCTTCGTCTTGAGAAGCATGGTGTCGGAAAAGTTTTGGAAAAGCTTCAAAAATCACCAAAGTCTTCAAAAACCTCAAAAAAGACTACCACACCACGTGCTATGAGTTGCTCCTCGAAGTCAAGTCGCAACTGTATTAACGGTTTTAAGAAAAAGGAAACAAACTTGCAAGACGTTTCCGTCTTGCGAAGCAAGCCCATAGGGAAAATCGTCTTGCGAAGCAACTCAAAAAACCAAAAACCCTTTCGTTTTGCGAGTTTTCTGTCTTGCGAGGCATTCGTCTTGCAAGGTACCACTGTATGTGAAAATACTTTCCAATAGTCATTGTCTATGTCAGCATGAATGGTAGAGTATCAAGGGCACAGAGACTGAATCATTATCCCCCCCCCAAAAAAAGTGTAACAGCTCCTATTAATTAGACTACACAACATTAATAAGTTTCTGAATAATTCTTCAATCTGAGCTATGTTTATTGGAACTAAGTCCCACTGAGTTCAATGGGTCTTATTCCTAGTGTACTTAGGCATCAAGTCACCTCAAGTGTATATGGATTTCACACTTTGATTGTTTTAGCAAACATTCCCACTCACCTGGGAATTCAGGAAACAAAGAGCACTGTGGGGACCTAGAAATGTTTAACAAAGGTCTCAGTATCTCCACTAACTACAATTTCCAGGAGTCTTTGGGGGAAGCTGTGCCAGTAAAACCAATATAAGTGATCAGAGTGTGTATTAGCCTTCCCCGGCCTTGGCTTCTCCAGAAATTTTGGACTACAGCTCCATCAGTCCGAGCCAGTATTGGTATTCCCAACAGCATGATGTGTGTCAGTATTTATAAACTGGGAACAAATGAGAAATCTCAAGAGAAAAGCCCTGCATATAGTCCGACTATGGAAATGAAGTTCATTCTGTTCTCTGTCTAAATCAAAACTCCATCACGATCTTTTAAGATAATATTGTTCAAATGTTCTACCTTTTAGGAACAAGTCCGCCCCTGGCTACAGGCCTCTTCACACATCCACTGAATGAAAGGGGCTCCAGAGAGTTACTGGGAAATGGAGTCTTGCTCCTTGTCCTGCTTCCTGGATGTTGCACATTGATGCAGCTTTCTAAGCCAGGGAAGCCTATTTGTGAGCAGCTACTTGTGCATAGATTTCCCCACTGCAGACCTCAGTGCCAATAAACATGTTCAGGGTGTTGTGCAGCTTCACGTCCCACCATCTCATAGATCCTGTACGCATAAAGGAGACTTAAATGTTGAATGGAAAGGTTGATAGTGGTGAGCAAACTGTCTTTCCATGCAGTTTGTCCGCTGCCATTGCTGGTTTTCTTACTCCTGGTAACCTTCCAAATATCCTCCTGGTTTTCTGTAACACAGTGTGAAAATCACTGGTTTAGCCCTTTGGGGTAACCACAACCATCTTGTCCAAAGGATACTACTTTTAGCTTTTGCTTTCAGCAATGCTGTTCTGACCAGAAGGCATAAATACCCTATGGTCCTTAGCACAGCAATAAAACTGACAAGGTCTGCTCTTTATAACAACCTAATTAATACAATCACATTAGCTTTTTACATCTTGCTTTAGTGTTCTTTCGGGATATGAGGACCACTGACCTCTAAACTAAGAGTGTGTTCTTTAAGGCAGTTATTATATTACATTTGCCCTTATGCATTTCTTATGTTCATAGAAATTTTATTGGGCCTTATTCTGTCCTCCATTTGCTCAGACACGGTTCTGGGCTCGCACACCCTTAAGTGATTCAGCTGTCAGAGAAATAGGGTTGAGTGTCATCACTTCCTAATCCACATTCCAAATCTTCTAATGGCTGCTCCCAACAGCTTCATATAGATGTTAAATAGCTTAGGGTACAAGTTGGTACCCATAATTCTCATCTCACCAAACCAGTCCAGGAGGATATCATTGTCAATGGTAGCAAAAGCCAATGAGAGATCAAATAAGAATAATGGGAACTTACTCCCCCATCTCTCTCTTGATAAAGGTCATCCATCAGGGCAAACAGCAATATCTAACCTCAAAATTATGTCTGAACACATATTGAAATGAGATTAAATAACAAGTAACCACCAAGCGTGCCTGAAGTCAGTGGTGTTGCAACAGGGGGGAGGTGCGGTGCGCCCTGGGTGCCATGTCTGGGGGGGGGGGTGACAAGAAGGCAGCGCATGTGTGGTGTCGCATGCATGCACTTTACGTAACGACGCTGCACATGTGCTGTGCATAGCGGTTTGCCAGTGGTGGTGCTCCAGCGCCGTACGGACGGTGGTGGGATCCTTCCGTCGCTGCTACAGCCGCAACCAGAGGATCCCAGCACCGTCTGTACAGTGCTGGAGCGCCGCCACTGGCAAACCGCTATGTACAGCACATGTGCGGTGTCATTACGTACGGCGCATGTACTGTACGTAGCGACGCCACACATGTGCCGTACATAGCAGTTTGCCGCCCCGGGTGTCACGACGCCTTCGTTCGCCCCTGCCTGAAGTCATGCCACAACTACAGTGGTACCTTGGTTTTCAAACGTCTTTGTTGATGAACGTTTCAGAATTCGAATGCCGTAAACCCAAAACTAAACGCTTCCATTTTCGAACATGCCTCAGAAGTCAAATGGCTTCCACTGGGTGTATATGTTATTTTTCTCAATTTTCTTTATTAAATTTGCAGACCGCCTTTTGTGCCTTGGTTTTCGAACATTTCAGAACTCGAACGGTCTTCCAGAACAGATTACGTTCAAAAACCGAGGTACCACTGTATTTCAAAAGGGTGTGTGTGCTACCAATGGAATGGTAGATGCAGAAAACCATTAAGTCCTTGAGGATGGCAGGCACCACTGTCTCATGTTGTGGACTCTGGACCCAGACTGTAAGCTGCCCTCCCCCAAGCTAGCCAAGAGAAACATAGGGCACATATTGCTGTAAGCACCTTGTCCACATCATCAGGCCACATCAACTGAAACTGATCCCACAAAATTGGTCTACACATAGCATTGCACATCTCACTTGGACTTACTCTTAAGACAGCATCAGGTTCAACAAAGAGACTGGTGAGTTTATCCTCAAGGTGCCATGTCAAAGCGTCACAGCAAGCCATCAAGGGATCCAAAGCTTCATTAGCTGAGAAAGGTGTCAACAACCGTCAGAAAATTCTTAAAAGCTCAGCTGAGGATGCAATGAAGCAGCCAAGGAGGCCTGCTTAACCAGCCACACAATAATGCACAAGGTATGATTATGTGCCATAGCACATTTTCAGCTGACTATGCAATGGGACCTGCCATTTGTGATCCAGCACTGTCCAACCTGTTTCGTTCCCCAACTCTCATGATATTGTCCTGAATGAATAAGTGGATACATCCACAGCAGTAACAGATATGGGGATATGCCAGCCAGGATAAGGGTCTGCAATGAAAAAATAAATAAAGGTTGAACGGGAATACCTTGGGGAATACTTAAAAAGAGAAGATGTCAGATTTAATCTGCAAGTAGGAATAACTTTCTGAACAGCAGTCAACATAAGCCAAGGGAAAGATAGGGTGAAAGAAGGGTGGAGAAATAAATGGAGCTGCAGCAAACGAAGTTATTTCCAGAATGCCAATGAGGGTTAGGTTGGGAAGCTTGAACAAATTAATGAAATATTGTAAGATGGAAAATGTAAAAGATGTTAAACAAACATTGGAGAATGCATAAACAACAATAATAAGATTTTTCCTCAGAGTTCTGAAATATTTCCTGCCTCCAGCTTGTATTCCTCTGCTTCTGACATGATGCATTGGCCCATTTGCTTGCCATCTTCTAAGGCTGCAGGAACAGAAAGCATCATACAGACCAGGAAAGGCAGAGCTGGCTGGCCAATGATCAAAGTTGGCATAAAAGAGTGAAAAGCACTACCTGCCAGAATAATTACTTTGGGGGGTTAAATTTAGGTAAGCGTAATTTGCCTGTAAGCGTACGAGACTTGATCAGTTGTGTACACACGCTAGAGTTTAAATAAGGCCATTCTGGGGGAAACTAAAGCACTGGCCCCTATCCAACTCTAGTCATGCCTAATTGGTCGTATGTAATTACAGATGGCCTCAGACGGAGAAATGTAACACCATTCATATCAAAAGACAAATCCAGACACTTCAGAGGTGAGCATTGCAAAGCAGATGGAAATAATTCACCTGAATCCTGATTAGCTAAGTGTGGGGGAGGCTGCTTCCCCCACTGATCTCTCTCTTGCTGGATTGAGGAGGTCATGCTTGAATGGTGCAGATTTATAATTTAAAATTATGTAGAAATATGATTCCATTTTTAAGTATCTGGGAAAGTTTTGTTTTCTCTGACATATTTTTGAATTTTCTTGACTTTCTCAGTAAGGTGCTAAAAAGACAAAAGGGTGTTGGGCTTGTTCAGGCCCCCCCCCCCCCCCCGCTGACTGATGGAACCTGATGGGTTCCTGAATGTTCTAGAAAGCTGATGATCTTGTTGAAGCCTTGGCCTCACTATGGAACAGTGAGATGAAATGGGCAGTTAACATGCTCACTCTTGAGCATCCTCTCTGGTGTTTTGGAGCACAAGCGGCCTCTTGGTACTCTGAGCAGCTTCAAGCTATGAAGGAAGTCAAAAGAAGACTAGAGCACCAGTGGCACAAGTCTTGCTTTGAAGCTGACCGGACAATGATTAGAGCATAAAACTGTGCCTACCATGTGGCCATGCAGGCTACAAAGAAGGCTCATTTCGCAACTTGCATTGCATCCTCTAGTATCTGGTCCAGAGGTTACTGATTCACACTGTGGGAGGGGGACCTCTGGAGAATTCAAAGACCTGCTGTGAACAGCTGCCTACACACTTTGAGGACAAAGTTGCTCAACTTCAGAGTGATCTAGATTCTACACTTGTTGCAGCTCCGGTTAATGTACTCAATGAAAGCATCAGAAATGTGTTGTGGAATCTATTTCACTTTATGCAGTCAGCTGATGTGAACAAAGTGCAGACAGAAATATGTTCAGTCACATGACCTTTTGACCACTCTCCCACCTGGTTTATTAGATCTAGCAGAGCAAGGGCTGACTGGTTATATCCAGAGCATGATTTAATACCTCACTTGTGGGAAGGAATGATCCCTTCCGGCCTGAAAAAAGCAGTGGTGACGCCATTCCTAAAGAAATCAGCTCTTACACATCATTCACCTCTTCATTTAGGATTCTCTGAATCCTTTGACTTCCCTCTGCCCTTCCATGGTTACCATTATCAAGCTTTTTTTCATCTGCTTATCCTATTTTCTCTAATTTGTCCCAAAAAATTAATAATCATTTTTTCTAGTTTTTCATACATTATCAAAATCCTGCCAAAGTTTTTAGTTGTTTACAGTGTTCTCTTAAGTACATTACAATTTTTTCCCATTCCTTCCTGAAATTCTTCTCTTCCTGGTTTCTGATTTTCCCAGTCAGTTTCGCCATCACCTTCATCAGCCATTCTTCTCTGGTTGGAACTTTGTCTTCTTTCCATCTCTGGGCCAGTAGTATCCTCGCTGCTGTCGTCACATTCATGAATAGTTGTTTCTGCTCCCTTGGAATTTCTGTGCCTAAAATGCCTAACGAAAAAGCCTCTGGTTCTTTCACAAATGTTATTTTAAACATTTTTTTTCAACTCATTGTAAATCATTTCCCAGAATGCTTTAGTTATCTTGCACATCCACCACATGTGGTAGAACATGCCTTCTTTCTCCTTACATTTCCAGCAAACATTTAAAGCAGTTCTACACATTTTTGCTAGTTTTACAGGTGTTAAATACCACCGATACATCATTTTCATATAATTTTCCTTCAACGCAGAGCACGCTGTCAATTTTAAATCTTCCCTCCATAATTTTTCCCAAGATGAAAATTGAATATTGTGCCCAATGTCTTGAGCCCATTTTATTATTACTGATTTGACTTCTTCATCCTTAGTATGCCACTCTAGCAACATATTATACGTTTTAGAAAGTAACTTCACATTATTTTCCAATAATTCCTTTTCAAACCTTGAAAATCCATTTTTCTTATTTATTTTAAACACATCATTTACTTGATGGTATTGCAACCAGTCTGTAAGTAACTGTGTTTGAATTTAAATTTGTTATGTAAAACTTAATAATTTTTTTTTATTTTTTTTTAAATATTAGGAAATTAAAAAAAAAGAAATCCGCTCTTAGACTGGGACAACTATTGACAAGTCACAAATGACATATTTTGGGGGAAGGTGGTGGAGAGGGTTATGGTGGGGCAGCTGCAAGCATTCCTAGATGACACAGATTATTTAGTTCCATTCTAATCTGGGTTCAGATTTTATATCTAGACTTCAGTAAGGCTTTTGACAAAGTCCTCCATGATATTCTTCTGGAGAAGCTGGTAAAATGGGGGCTGGATGAGGTTTCTGTTAGGTGGATTTGTAGCTGGTTGACTGACCAAACCCAAAGAATGCTCACAAATGGTTCCTCATCATCCTGGAAAAAAAATGGCAAATGGGGGTGACAAATGGGGGGTGCCACAGGGTTCTGTCCTGGGCCAGTACTTCTTCAATGTCCTTCTAAACAACTTGGGTGAAGTAATTGAGGAGATGCTAATCAAATTTGCAGATGATGTCAAAATGGGAGTGGTAGCTAATGCTGGCGTTGGGTATGTGCGGCCTGGAAAAGAAGAGCCTGAGAGGAGATATATTCAAATATGTTAAGGGCTGTCACATGGAGGAGGGAACAAGCTGTTTATCTCCTGCTCCAGAGGGTAGGACTCGAATGAATGGTTTCAAGTTACAGTGGTACCTCTAGTTACGAACTTAATTCATTCTGGAGGTCCGTTCTTAACCTGAAACTGTTCTCAACTAGAGGTGTGCTTTCGCTAATGGGGCCTCTTGCTGCCGCTGCACCACTGGCACATGAATTCCGTTCTCATCCTGGGGCAAAGTTCTCAACTTGAGGTAACTCTTCCAGGTTAGTGGAGTTTGTAGCCTGAGGCATTTGTAACTCGAGGTACCACTGTACAAGAAAGGAGAACATGACTAAACTTCAGAGCTGATGGTAAGAGCTGTTTGACAGTAGAACAGACTCCCTCAGACGCTGGCGGACTCTCCTTCCCTGGAGGTTTTTAAACAGAGACTGGATGGCCATCTGTCACTGAAGCTTTAGTTGAGATTCCTGCATTGCAGGGGGTTGGACTAGATGACCCTTGGGGTCTCTTCCAACGCTACAATTCTATTGTTATGATTCTGTAACTAGGAGAATGAAAGCAACTTCTTAACACTAATAATAAGGAACATGAAATGAGGTAAATAGTTTTGCTTCTGCACTAGTTAGAATGCCACGGTCAGTCAAATTTTGGCTTTTCTTGTTTACTGCATAG